TATAATTAAAGAATACTTACACTATAACGTAAATTAGAAGTGCAACGCAAAAAAAACTGGATTTTTACGCCTATTTTGAATTTTACTCGAATACAAATACAAATACAAATACTTTTCCCCCCTCAACAAATACAAATACAGATACAAATACCGGCTGCTTTGCACACCCCTACTGTCTAGTCAGTTAAAAGTACAGTTTAATAAACGTTTGAACGTTTAACATCATTTTGATCAGCATGTAAGCACTCCCAAAGGACCCAAAATTATTCCAGATTTAAGTGTCGAAATGAATCTTCTATATGAACGAAGTAGAAAATACATACACTGAAAACAATCTCCATTTCCATCTCTAGTCACGCGCACTAAGAGGCCAGAAGCCGCGGGAAACCCCAGTCCTTCGCCATTATGTAACGCTTTCATGCGCTTAACAACAACAAAAAATCGCAGGTCATGCGAGAGAGAAAGAATAGGAGCTAAACTCATTACAGTCGCCGGGTCAATGCACGTACAGCAAAAGGGTGAAGACCTCATCGGGATTTACAAAGCAGACGGAATATTAATATGTTATTTTAAACAAACAGGGCACATCAGTTAGGTAAAAATCCCATTTAAGTATGAAACTGTAAAATGTAACCATAATAAACCATCACTGGTGAAAGCGACTTAGTACAAGCCATGTTGTGCCTACAAACGTTTTACAGCTCAAGTCAATACTCCAAACTTAAAGTAATTAAATTGTTGCTCAACACGAGAGGGGGGAAAGAGAGTCATGAAAATAAACCAGTACTAAAACACTAAAAAAACTTTTGTACTACACTCACTCCTTGAACTTTTCGTTAGTCTTCTACACTGTATGAGCCAGGACCTTTTAGTTAACTAACAATGACTAAACACTGGGCTTTGTGTAGCGGTTATGTCATGCATTGTAATTCCGCGGAGAGTTTTAAAGTCCGCGCAGCCTTACTGCTCCCGATTCCGCCGGCGGCCGGACTGCACCGAGGGCGCCCGGAATTGGCCGAGACCCTGAGCCACGCGACTGTACACTGCACACGCGCCGAGTCACCACGGGACTCATAGTGCACTGCACAGCAGGTATTTCACACGCTGAGTTTGATTGCTGCTGCGTTTGCGCTAGTTGGAGATAAATATTTATGCCGAAGCACCTAATCTCGCTATCCTTGCATGCATTTCTGGAATTACTTGGACAAAGTTCGCGGGTAGCAGTTAATATCTTGAGCGATTGCGGGAGTAACAGCTGATGAGCCATAGCTGAAGAATATAGTGAGGCTGCAATTTGACTCGCAGTTTTAGTGAAAGATGAGTATATTCTTATTACTCTCTGACAGATTCCCATTCACGCGAGACTTCTTAGCCTTTAACAAATGCTATACATTTAGCTGAATTTTATTGGAAAAGCAAGATATGTAGCAATTATGTAGTTTCCGTTATCATTATTAAAATGTAATTTTTCTATCCATCTAGCTGTTTGCCAAACTACTGAGAAAGAATAGTATAGTCTAATTTACTTAATGGCTGGGAAAATAATTTGTTTAATTAACGTGGCTCAAATAAATTTATTTTCTGAAAATTAAATGTGTATTACTCACCACGGGCAAACTGACTGATGAATACGATGTGTTAGTGACTGCATATTTTGTTTGTTCCAGCGACCCTGACAAGAATAATTAAGTGGTTAGAGGATGGATATTTTGTTTGTTGCTTTTGAAGCTTTTAGGTCTTAGGCCATCTTAAAATACTTAATTGAAATTGGCATTGAGACTGATGGGTAATAATGTCACACAAGGTGCCCAGTCAGCTAATCATGTGACCTGTTTTGTCAGGTATGGATGGAGCGGAGTCCCAGGAAGGTATTCCCAACTCTGCCAGTATCCAGCTTCCTGGGCAGTGGGAGACATACAGGTATGCCCTAGAATTTGATATATCTCTTCCTCCTTTCATAAATCTGTTATTTAAGTGCTAGTCTGACTCAGCCACAGGAAATGCTGTACTTGGAATGTGCCATTTGTTGTTGCTGTTTGCCAAGTAAATTTATTATGTATCATTTTGCTCATTTATATGTTTGGCAGTGGGAGTGCAGAATGGGTCACATGGTGCTGGTATGCTCAGATGACTGAAAATGTGAATTCATAAAAGGACGAAACGTATTTTTTAATCTGTGGAGGTACGATATTCATAAACATAACAACAGGTCAGTATAGCTAATTGGCTGGTATGGTGCAGACAAAAATGCATCATATTAGACTAACAGATAAACACAGGTCTTGCAGTCTGGTGATTAAGGAGCTGGTTTACTGAAGCCATACTTGCAAATTATTTTGCCTTCAAATGGAAATTTCAATCAAAAGTGATGTAGCTGAAGTAAATTTTGTTTGACACCATTGTCCTGCACATCCCTTGAATTATATGCACCCCGAAGAGAAAGAAATTACTTTCACCTTCTCTTGTCCTCAGGAGACATTCGTATTGTGCTTTTATTGGAAGGCAATGTTGTGAGTAAAATGTGTGTCTGTCCATATCATTATATTTTTTATATAAACACTGACCAAATCCATTCAGGATTGTTTACTGTCAACAGCAGCATTGATGTCTGGGACAATGACATTAAAACATGGAATTTCCGTATCACATTCGTTTTTCTAAAATTGGTGTTCTGTAGATCCCTGGTGCTGTAAAAAGCAGACGATTCACTGGATGGTGGTACAGCTCTGACTGGCAATTGTATTAAAGTGTCAAAAATAAAATCCATCCATCCATCCATCCATTATCCAACCCGCTTATACTACTGGGTCGCGGGGGGTCCGGAGCCTATCCCGGAAGCAATGGGCACGAGGCAGGGAACAACCCTGGACAGGGGGCCAGCCCACTGCAGGGCACACTCACACACCATTCACTCACACATGCACACCTATGGGCAATTTAGTAACACCAATTAGCCTCAGCATGTTTTTGGACTGTGGGAGGAAACCCCACGACGACACGGGAAGAACATGCAAACTCCACACACATATGACCCAGGCGGGGACTTAAACCCAGGTCCCAGAGGTGTGAGGCAACAGTGCCAACCACTGCACCACCATGTCACCCCCTAAAATAAAATATCAAAGCTTAATTTCTAATATGCAAAGCCTAAGCAAGTATTATTTATATAGTCATGAATGTAAGAATTATTATACAGTAGATTAGTGTATCTATTAAATATACTTGTGCTACATTATCAAGCTGCACAACATGCTTAATGCTGTGTAAGACTTCAGTTTGTATGTCGGCCTAGCTATTATTTTGTTGTAGAATTAGTATGTTTTTTTCCAGTAATCTCCCACATGACCTGCTTCCCACATGTCTTTTTTTGCTCTCCCCAAAGAATAGTCCTTAAGAATCCACTTGTTTTATTGCCCGAGGGGAGGGGGAGGGGGTGGTCTGCAGTGTGGGATCTCTTGGTAATTAGCTGGAATTAGACGGAGGTATTTTTTCTGCCCCCGCTTTTGTCCTTGGATTGTATTGTAGGCTTCATTTCATTCTGCGTGACCCCCATCGCAAATGGATTTACCCGGATTACTTTTGCCAATTAAACAGCCATCCTGTGCATGTTTGGATCTCAGTAACACTGAGGTCGGTGCGCTTAGTGCTGTCACGTGGTCATGCACTCTGTTGTGGGTCAGCTGGTCTTCGCATCTGGTACAAGGGCTAAGGGATGGTCACATGATTCCACCCTGATGAGCACCGACCATGTTTACTCTAGTGGGTTTGTAGATTTGCCCATTGAACGCAAGCAGCTTCTACAGCACTGAAAGCAAGCAGGGACTGAAAACACGATTATGAAGTTCAGAGGTCTGCTGTTTGGTGTAACCAGTTGCTGTCGTGTGACCTGATAGGTAAATGCAATGATAAATGTGGGGAGACAAGGTGAGATGTGTTATGAATTCACCGTGTTGTCAGCACTGCCAAGGAATGAGGATTCATCGGACCAGCTGACCTTCTTCCACTGATCCAAGGTCCAGTTCTGATGTTAGTGTACCCATTGTTGGATGGTTTTGATGGGGCACATGGGTCAGCATGCCCCCCCCCCCGACTGCTCTGCAGCTACACAGCCCCATAGGCAACTTGGTGTATGGTATGTTGTGACCCCACAACATTGTTCTGAAGGACAAATAACTGGAGGAAAATTTGGGGAAAACAAAGCCGTCCACTCCTACTGGGCTCACATTTAAGTTCTCATAGTCCTCAGAGACATCTGAGACTGACACTGTAAAGTGAACAGCCCCTCATGGATAACGCTGCTTGTCTTTTCAAACTACATTACCCACAATTCCAACTCATTGCTGTTTTTCTCGTGAATGCCTGTCCTCCTCCCACAGGGTACATGTGGTCACATGGAATATCGGCACGTCAGAACCCCCAGACAATATCAGCTCCCTGCTGTACCTGGACTCCCAGGTCACCGCAGACCTCTACGTAATTGGGTGAGTCGGCAATGGACTGTACTGTGAATCCAAGTGCTACAAAAGGATACACTGTGCAACTGGACATCCAATAGAAAGTCCTTTCTGAGTGAATAAGTTGTGATTAGACCTGAGTTAACTGGATTTTTAACATATAAATTTTTTTTGCATTACAGCCGTAACATCTGTATGTATAATGTTTATGAGTCAGATACTCTTTAATATATTATATAAACTAATCAATAACTGTGACTTTCCAAATTCCACTGGCTTATGTGTGTATGTGTGTGTGTGTGTGTCTGTGTTTTTCTAGCCTGCAGGAGGTGAATGCCAGACTGTTGCAGTTTGTCATGGATTTGGTCTTTGAAGATTCCTGGAGCCACCTCTTCATGGCCACACTGGGGCCTCTTGGCTATGTAAAGGTACACAGATGTCCAAAATGTAATGTGGATACCCCTATTAAATGGAGTTACCTAATTAAACCAGATCCATTGTATAATCAAGCACACAGTCACACAACACAATCTCCTGCAACAAACATTAGCTGCAGAATGGGTGGTTGTACAGAAGAGCTTAATGACCTTTCACCTGGCACCAACATAAGACGGCGTCTTTCCTACAAGTCAGTTTGTCTTGCTAGAGCTGCCCCGGTGAACCGCAAGTGAAGTGATTGAGAAGGTGGGTGCGAATTCAGCTTTGAAGTGTTAGGCCACACCAGCTCACGGAAAGGGACCTGATAGCATCACTACGCAACCTGAATAGCAGCAAATGCCACCAGCAATGTTCCAACATCTAGTGGAGAGCCTTCCCTGTAGAGAACAGGCTATTATAGCAACAATAGGGTGGCCAACTTCATATTAATGCCTTTAGTTTCGGAATGAGATGTTGGACAGCTGGTGTCCACAAACTCTTGGGGATGTAATGTATCAGACACCAGAGTGTATGTGCTCTTCTGTGAGTTTCTGGGTATGTGTTTGTGTCTGTCTTTGAAACAATGATGTGCTTCATTCCACTCTTTGTTGGGATAGAGGGAGCTGGGGGGGGGGGGGGGGGGGGGTTCTGCTGAATTGGACATAGACAGTGATTCCTTTGTCTGCTCGAGCTTACATAACATCGGAAGCTTTTTCTCAGCTTGTTTGTCATTGCAGGTGACATTGCCATCTTGTGAACGTGCAACACAAGCAGCAGAACATCCATCATTGTCTTTGTTTCGGGTTTGGGGGGGTCATTTGTTCTATAATTGTGTTTCTGGAACAGAATGCCTGTCTGGGCAAAAGTATCAGGGGGCAAAAAAGACTGGTGTGAGCAGCGATGGGACTGCAGTGCTGGTGAGATGCTAGGGTCTTCTGTTTGGCTTATGGTGTCCTTCCCTCCCAGGTGACCTCTGTGCGCATGCAGGGTCTGCTCCTGCTGGTCTTCAGCAAGCAGCTCCACCTCCCTTTCATCAGGGATCTGCAGACCACCTACACCCGCACTGGGATCTTCGGGTACTGGGTGAGGCATGGGCTGCTCTGGGTCGGGGCTTTTGCTGTGCACAACTACAGTGGCATACAATAATATGCAAAATTGATTTTCTTTAAAATATTTGCTGGCAAATAATTCATTTTGACTTTGACTTTACTGTCAGAGACTATGACTTGGCAATAAAAATACTGACGAGATGAATATGTATATGTATCATTTGTAATTCAAGGAAATCTGATACCTGTATGGTAGGTTGAATATTTTTGCCAGTAGATGCGGAGAGTGAATTGGCTAATTCATTCTAGTGTCATGCACAGAAGCATTTCTATAGAAACCATACAGAAATAATGATTGATTGATTGGTTGGTTGGTTAGCTGGTTTGTTGGCTGGTTAGCTGGCAGGTTGGTTGGATTATTGGTTGGCTGGCTGGTTGGTTGTACAAATGGTGTATCTGGTGCTGGAATCCTAGGTAGCTCAGGGTTGAGAGGTGGTAAGATCCAGGGAAGTGGAGGGAAAGAAGATGATGATATAGAAGGTGGAGAGACAGGAACACCAGAAGACATTTTATGAGTTACCAGGCCATAGTGGTTATACTCGGCATTGGTGCCATAAGGGAGCCGGGGGGGGCACCGGTCATACTGGTTAATATTCTACAAGTGTTAAATTTGTCCCTTTCTTCTGTTTGCCGTTGTCTTCACTCATCTCCCAGGGCAACAAGGGCGGGGTGTCCGCACGGATCTCCTTTTATGGACACACGCTGTGCTTCCTTAACTGCCACCTGCTGGCACACATGAGCTACGCAGCGCAGCGCGTCGATGAGTTTGAGTACATCCTGGATGTGCAGGAGTTTGACACGCATGACACACCGCATGTGCTCGACCACGAGTCAGTGTCCTGCTTGTGTGCTCTGTTCACGCCGAACATAGTGACTGAACACATTTATTCTGAATGAAAAGTGCAAAACAACTGCAATCTAAGATAAAATTACAACTTTAATGAAAATATATTACAGATGAAAGACATGAACCAGGATAAGTGATTGGAAGATGGATGGACTGATAGATTTATGGATGTAGATAAGATAAAATGGATTATTATTTTTGTTACTCTGAGATTCTGTAGCAAATTTCGTACTAGTGCAAAACTTTAAAAGTAGAGATCAGATTGCAACAGGATAGGTCACGGCTGGTCATGGTTTAATAAGAGTTATGTGCCCCAGTTTGCTCTTCTGGTTTGGGGATCTGAACTTCCGCATCGACGACCATGGTCTTCTCTTCCTGCGCTCTGCTATCACCAGCAATCGTTTCAGCCTGCTGTGGAACAAGGACCAGGTGTGATTGCCGGCCCCCTCCCACCCAGCCCTAACCATAACCATAACCATAACCATAACCATAACCATAACCATAAGTAACCAAACAAAATACAAGAGTGCATTTTTAGTTTTTTTATTGCAGTTACGGATTTTTATAAAATAGAGTTTTCCCATACGGGGACCAGGAAACTATCCCAAACCGACTAAAACAGACAAAAGTTATAACAAACAACATATCTTTACATGGTTGGTTTTCTCCTTATTAGGAGCTTGTAGACTTAACCACATAGCATCCTTTCCTTTAAAATAAAGGTGTTTTCAGTCATGCCCGTACATTTTCTCTGCTTTGTCGGCCATCCTGCATAACAGTGGCTAGCTAATTAATAATGTATTATTCGTCAATTAATATTCCATGTGCACAGTGACACTTATGGGATGTGCTGACCCTCAAAAGGCTGCTTAGAACATTAAATATTAAATTTAGTCACCTAAGATAGTGAAGTGACAGACATGCACAGTTAATTAACAGGCTAATTGCATTAAGATATGAAAAAGAAAACCGTAGCTGGTTGTCTTCTAGTGTGATGCTTTCCATTTGACTCTGCTTCACTCACGATGTGACTCTCTGACTCAGTATGACTCTGCAAATCTTACTGTTGGGCTTGATTCTCAAAGTTTCTTCCCTGTGTGACTCTAAGTTCAACCACTTTGTTTGGCCCTCAGCTGCTGATGATGATGAAGAAGGAGGCCTTGCTGCAGGAGTTTAAGGAAGGACCTCTGTACTTTAAACCCACCTACAAGTTTGACAGGTTTTCCCAAAACTACGACACCAGGTAATGCGATCTTGCGAACGTCGTAACATGCTGGGAAGCTTTTTAAGAGCGTGTTCATGCATAGCGGAGAAATGTGAGGAAGTGGATCAAGTTACCAAGGGTTTCTTGAGGTACAAGAGGGATTCCCCTTCTTGAATCTCATTGTGAGACATTGTGGTGACAAATTCTGTGCCACCAATTTTCTGATCTGTTATTGTGTGATGGTCTACAACGGTGTTTCTCAGTCTGGTCCTCAGACACCCCCAGATGGTCCACATTTTTGCTCCCTCCCACCTCCCAGCAAGTCATGGACTGTCCGGGGCTCCCAGAGGACCGATTTGTGAAACACTGGTTTTTAAAACACAGGAAACACTTTAATTTTAAGAGTGCTATTTTTTATGATTCCAAAGGATGGCTTAAGATTAGGTTTTGGAAGGAATCCCACATCAGCTTATTTTGTTGACTCACTATACCATTTTACGGCATCCAAATGCCTCACCCAGACAGTCAGACGCCTCACTTCCTGTCACCAGAGATGACGGTCTTACCCTCTCTCTTTACAGGGCATCAAAGATGTGGCTGGGCTTTAAGTAAGAGCTTTAAAATTCCCCCAGTACTATCGTTGCTCACTAAGCCTGCCAAATCCCCTTCATTATCTGCCCCCCCACCATCCATGGCTATTCTACTATATGACTTGTGGAGCACAGATGAACACATCTTTCTGTGGATGTGGCTAGATACCTGTCATACTGTAGATCTAACCTCACCTCAACAGAAGTGCTTCCACACACCCGCTCACATACTTGCACTGTGTGCTTCTCGATGTGTGTGTGTGTGTGTGCGAGCGGGTTTACCTATCCTTACCACAATGTCCCCATAACGTGATAAATATCCGTTTTTTTCTCCCTTATGGGGACCGGTTTCCTGGTCCCCATAAGGGAAAACTCTATTTTATAAAAATCGGTGACTGCTATGAAAAAATTAAAAATGCAAAAACTCTTGTGTTTTGTTTGGTTACTTATGGTTATGGTTAGGGCAGGGTAGGGGTTAAGGTTGTCATAGTTAGCGTTAGCATTTTTCCCATTGAAATGAATGAACGGTCCCCATAAGGATATGTTTACCCTACATGTGCGTGCGTGTGTGTGTGTGCGTGCGTGTATGTGCCCGCATGCTATAATGGCATCATGTAATCACCAGAAGAGCCCTGCATCGCTCATCGTGTCTGATAATGCCATGTTCATGCTGTAGTCTCACTCACGCCCCGCAACCAGCTCATTGTGTGAATACTTGTTGTCTCTCTTGCTCTCTGATTGGAGATGTGTAAATGGCAGTCTCTCCTGCTCTCTGAATGGAGATGTGTAAATGACATTCTCTTCTGCTCTCTGAGTGGAGATGTGTAAACGGCAGTCTCCCCTGCTCTCTGATTGGAGATGTGTAAATGGCATTCTCTCCTGCTCTCTGATTGGAGATGTGTAAATGGCATTCTCTTCTGCTCTCTGATTTGAACCGTGTGAACGGCGATCTCTGCTGCTCTCTGATTGGCCAGTGGCAAGAGACGGAAACCAGCCTGGACTGATCGCATCCTGTGGAGGGTGAAGCCCAGACCCAAGGTGGAGGAAGGGTCCAAAGTGGAAGAGGTGACGAGGAAGCCACTCAGGGAAGACCTCCCCCTTAAGGTGGTGCTGGACACTTACACTTCTGACTGTACCTATGGTGTCAGCGACCACAAGCCTGTTATTGGCACCTTTAGTCTTGAGGTGAGGCCATTGTTGTGAAACCTTGATCAAAACATGACTTTGTAGGTCTGCCAAGCCTTTTGAAGGCTCCCAAAGAACCTGTTATCAGTCGTCATCGTCCCCCCCCCCAAAGGAATTATCAGAAATAGAATGAAATTAATCTCAACATTGTGGTTGCATTCTGTATCACAGAGAGCTCTGGCCTTGTCGGAACTGGAAACAGCCGATGCAGTGTGTCGAACTTTCTGTGACCTTTTGTGCAGCTGAAGAAGTATGAGACCCCTCTGGTGCAGGTGTGTGCCGAGGGTGATTGGAGTGCCACCGGGGGCCCTCTGGTGACATACAGCATCCTGGAGCCTTTCTCTGCCAGCACCTGGGACTGGATTGGCCTCTACAAGGTCAGCTGACAGGAGGGGGCGACAGGGTCATATGACCAGACCAGCCTCACCAGATCACCTTCTGTCAGCTCATGTCGCATCAAGTGTCCGGGAAAGGTTACAGTTTGGTGTCTCCATCTCACAGGCCAGCTTTAGAAGCGTGTCCGACTACATTACATACATCTGGGTGAAGGGGATAGAGGTTTCCAGTAGTGATGATGTCATCCAGGTTTGTATACCCTAACCAAGCTGAGTACTCTGTGTATGTGTCTGTCTGTTGTACAGCTGGATGCTTTTGATATAAGATAGATACGTCTCTCTATTCCTGTATGTAACCAGTGTGTAATTTGAGAACGTAAAACTAAATAATAGGAGAAATAAATGAATTCATATTGACATATTAAAATGATGGGGTATAGAGGGGCGGGACCACAGGGACACTGGCCCTAGCTGAAAGCTGATTGGTCCCTTCCCATCACGCACCACATTGGCTAATGATAAGATTGGCCCCTCTGCATGAATTATGGCCACACTTACGTCCTCCACCTTAAAAAAAATTCTAGAATTTCCCCTGATTAAAATTCAGTGATTATCTTCAAGTGTGGCTTAATTAATTAAAGGAAGTTGTATCGCTGTCAGATCAAAGAGGGGTGTAGTAAACACCAATGGTTGCAGAGGATCTGCCCAGCACATTCAGATATGTAGGTACACAACACTGTCACAAAGAAGCAAAGACAAAAACAAAACGCAACAAAACAGAGGATAAAGAACAGCGGCAGCACTGAGGGAATGTGCAGGCAACACTGCCAATGTAAGTGAAGCAACAGACAAACTATTTAAACTATATTTCATTCCAAATTGTTGTAGGTACTTTATGTGAAAAACCGTATTGGAATTATCCAAAGTACATGTGCTTATGTTTTTTTTTCTCTTTCGGATATTTTCTCCTTTTTTCATTCGTTCATTCACTCCTTGGAGAGTTTTCTGAGTCAAGCAGAGATGGTGAGCTTGCTCACCGAATTGAATGGACTGCAGATTTCTTCAAAATAATTAAGCAGCACGAAAGTGAGGCTGCCATGGACGAACATTCCACCCCCCACCGCCCACCGCCCACCGCCCACCGCCCCGCGTTATGGTCGGGCTGAATGTGGCTTCCTGTACCGGGCACACATGTAAATGGTGTAATAATTCAGAGAATAAGTTTGTGGCATTATTATTGATAATTGAAATAGTTTAGCTAGCTATAAATTATAAGTGACAAGGCTGACTTGGTTATTTAAGTGAAATTATTAGGATCTGTATTTATGCAGCTAAAGATTATATATCTACAAAGTAGTTTCAGAAGTCAGATTAAACCCTTTAAGCCCTTTAATGCATAAAAAATATTGTTCTACACTGGTCATTTGAAAGTTGGCTACCGGATCTTGAATGCCTGCTGTTACGTGTTTGCAAAACACTTTGAGTGTCACCCATTCATGCTCTTTTCCTCTTCAGACATTGTAGATTTGCTATTCAGTCCCAACTATATTACAGCATAAGTGAATTAATATACAGTCGTACCTCAGAACTCAAACTTAGTCCGTTCAGAACTTGGGTTCGAATCCTAAATAGTTTGAGTTCTGATCGAATTTTCCCCATAAGAAATAATGGAAAACCAATTAATTGGTTCCCGGCCCCAAAAAATTACACCTAGATATGGGTTTTTTTTAGCATTTAAATACAAAATGAAGAGGATCAAACAAGAAGAGCATATACTGTACTACACACATCTAAGCACATTTATCAAAACAGTAATTTTGTCACACCGAGCAAGGAATGCGGAATCCAAGAACACAGGGTTTATTGCTGGCAAACAAGGCACAACACGGCATAGACTTCAATGACAGGACTGGGGAAACATACTTGAACGCAGACTTAAATACACATGACTCATTGGAAATAATGAGAAACAGCTGATGACATCGTGATATCACACAAGGTTAACGAGGGGGGCGTGGCACACAGGAGGATCGTATGAGCCGGGCGTGACAAATTTGTAAAGTAAGAAAATGAATGTATCCAAACAATGTGCAATGGCTACCAAAATGATATAAAGTACAGTGTATTACCTGATATTTTCAATAAAAAACGATGCCATCGCAGCGAATGCCAGGCTGAGACTGAAGCTTTACCCTTTGTTTCCACTGAGAGACGTGCCGCGTGACTCATTTCCCCCTGCGTACAAGTTAACTTAGGTGGGCGTTCACGGTTTGACTTCTGAGATTCAGATCGAGTTCTAGGTCATTTTTTTTCGAAGTGGTTGGTTCGACTAAGAAATTCGAGTTCTAATGAGTTCGAGTAGTGAGATGCCACTGTATAACACATATAATTAGGGCTGCACTGGCCGTCTGGCAGAAAGAGTGCAGAGTTGGTTCTTTACCCCGGCTTTGGGTCTCTGAGCTGGATATTGTACTTGTACTTCTTCTAAACATAGACTGGTGCTCATGAATACTTCTTGCTTTCTGCAAATGCATCCAGGTTTACATGAACAAAGATGACATCCCAGTGCTGAAGACAGACTGTGTGCTCTGTTACTATAGCAGCAATGCACGCTCCATCGTGGGCATCAGTCCGCCCTTTCAGGTGAGTCCAAGTATGGGCAGTTTGTGCACGCGTATATTCACACTGTGAGTTGGCACTGGACTCTGCACATTAAGAAATCCTTAGGCTGCAGTAGTATGAGCCAAGGTGCTTGTTTCAGGTGCATGAGTCTGTGATGGTCACCGAGGAAGACTTAGCACCCATGATAGCCAATGGGAGGGACAGGAATGCTGCCAGCTGAGGGTGCACCTGCCCAAACCACCAATCAGCACCATCGACCCTGGAATGGACAGCTGAGCTACGCCCCTCCAATTGCCACACCCACTCTCTGCTTTTATTGGTGTCCTAGGGGACCTGTCACTGACATAATGTCAGTATTTTGCCTCTAGAACTACTATGTTCCAACAGACATCTTTTAGTTGCAATTTATGTTGCTTTTAATCATTATCATTGCAATGATTTAAAAGTCAGTTTATGTGAAGTAGCTCACAATTTCACATTAATATTATGCTATTATTATCTTTTACACAAACTTTCATTTGGGTATGATATTCTCAGTGGTACAACAGAAAAACCCTTGTGGGATTTGAATCAACAGCAAGTATGTCTGGTTCTTTAATCACTGCACTGCATCTTAATGAGAAACAAGCCTCAAGTCCATAAATGAGAGACAAGGGTATGCGTGTGATCAGCACTCACTTCCGTCAGCTTATCTGTCACAGACCTCAGAGGTGTGAAAGATGTGCAGAGAAAAATTGGCAGTTGCAGGGAGACATTTTCATGAATCCCAGTTAAATTATAATCACAAGTTTCTATTCCCACATAACGAATGAAAATTAAATTTAATATTTCAAAGCTGGCTTCTAATGATTAAAATTTTACATATATTTTACATTTTATATGTTTTATGTTCATCTTATCGACTGTACAAGTTAGCTGTCTCATTGTGCCAGTACATTTCTGTGTTTGTCAAATCAAATCAAAGTTTATTTGTCAAATGTACAACAGTGTGGAAAAGAGCGGTAGCGAAAGATTTTTTTTTGTTTGCTATGATTTAAGACTAATGCGAATCAAAAAATGGCAGAATTTAGTTATACTGCACACTTGCAGAATCTCAGTTTAATGTCAATGTGAACCTGCAGAAAGTGCTGTTTGTGTTTGTGGACATTAAATACAAGCTATGCCACAGCCAGCATAATGGAAGTGTTTTCTTATCAGGTGTAAAATAGAGCTTTGATTCCTGTTATTCCAATATCCAAGATGCCAGAAGTGTTTCTTTGGATATAACCATGTGTTGATTGTTATATGTGTTAATTAGATGATCCTAACAGCATTGGTAGCCTCAGAATCGTACAGATACTTTGTATCAGGAGGCCACGGTTGTTACATCAACCACTGCAGGGCCCTCAGCGTGATGAAGTGCTTAGCGCTGATCTGACAATCACTGGTTAATTTAAATGTTGCTTTCCCTGTTAAGTTCATTTATTACTATTTTATTGTGTCTGTGTTACAAAGGAAAATTCTAGAAAATACATAAATGAAAAGTCAACACAAATGTTTATTGCATTATGATTTTTATTAAACTTCATCTTATCAAACTTAAAAGTAGTTTAGTTAATTTTATTTTCATTCTTTAGCAGTAATGTATTATTTTTTATAGTTCCATTTAAATTCTCATCTTTATGATGTGTTACTATTGGTAAATAATACGGAGCTTATGGTATGTGTGCGTATTCTGCCTAGAGGGTATGCAATGTTTCCCAATTCAGTCCTAGGGGACTCTTAGTCCATGTTTTCGCCATACTAGGAGCTGGGAGGGAGCAAAAACGTGGACTGGCTGGGGGCCCCTGAGGGCCAGGTTGAGAAACACTGATCTGTGGGAGCAGACTCCAGGCTCCCATGACTCGGAACTGGATGAGGAATTGGGAGATGGATGGGACTAGACTATAACTGAGGAAGGGTTTTTTTGCTGACCATGATGGTGTGATAATGGATGCCACTGTTACCTTGCACCTCCAGGGTCGGGGCTTTGAATCCTACCTCTGTGCTGTGTGTGTGAAGTATGATTGTTATATGTTGTACCTGTGTTATGCATGTTTCTTCCAGGTACTCTAGTTTTCTCCTACAGTCCAATTAGAATTAGAATTTAGTCCAATGGCAGGGAGTTTAGCTTGTGTCTCTGATTTGCCACTGATGAATTATTGTGTAAGTGCCCTGTGATTCACCAGCATCCTGTCCAGGCTGTGCTCCAGCCTTGTGTACTGTCCTTCCTGGCATAGGCTCTAGGCCAGGGGTGGGCAATCTTATCCGCAAAGGACCGGTGTATATGCAGGTTTTTGGGATAACCTGTAGGTCAGCTCTTCTAACCCAGGTGTGAGGACTCTTCAGCCAATCAGTCCAGGGAATTGCAGCGAAAACCCACATACACACCGACCCTTTACAGATATGATTGCCCACTTTTTATTGCCATTGTCATTGGCTGCAAACATCACATGATACGCAGAATCATTTGCTATGTTTGTTTTTTTTGTAGTACAATAGCTTTCTTTTGATATCCTATTCACGTACAGTATATTAAAAACTAGAACCACCACTAGACGGCAGCATATTGCACGTTTTTTTAGCGCTTTTTATTGTCGTCATTGCGACGCAAAAGAATCGCGTCTTTTCAACACATTTTACACGTGTGGATTTTGACAACTTAGAAGGTACATTTATTGTCTTTATCCTCTCTTCCAAGCTGTTTCACTTTAGTAACAATCGCTCTTGTTATTTAGGTTTTATTATGGTAGCAAACCGTATGGCTTGGTAATCTAGTTCTTTAACCGGCATTTTACGGAGTACTCGTATTGATTTTACATTGTTTATGCTCACTGATTGTTTGCTAGTTTTCTTCTTGCAGTAGACTTTTTTTGTCGCTACAATACCCAACATTTAAAGAGATGCCTTTCGTAACAATCCAATATCCTGTAACCGTGTAACGTAACCCAGATGGGTTCTCTTATCTGTTATTGAACCAGTGACCTTACATTAACGATTGATATTCTTAAAATAATGTGCATTTCATAACTAACAATATCAGAATTAATTAACAGACTACCGCAGAAAAACACTGAAGACAAATGTGTTTCTTTGTTTAGCTGTTTTTAAAGTTTTCATTCGTTAACATTTCACGGTTTATTGTTAATTAAATGCATCTGAAAAGTTATCCAAATCTCCCTCTCGTAAAGAACATTCCCATCTCATAGCTGAGTATCGGACGTTTCCACGGCGAAGATGAGCGGCGACGCGGAGCGTCTCTTGATCCAGTTCCAGGACGAGGCGGGCGAGATCCTCGGCTCCCCCTTCGATGTGCCCCTGGACATCACCACGGACAAGCTGCAACTAGTCTGTAATGCACTGCTGCAAAAGGTGCATATGCATATGGGTGGCACGCAGTAGGGGAGCTGTATTAATAGTGCTCCTCTTACTTCTGCGTATTGGTTTCTGCCGTGCCGAAAAACCAAAGCCTTATGTTATACAGCACCAATCAGGTAACGTAATCGCTGAACATCTGAATCAGGTGTTAATTAGCACCTCTGTCTACAGGAAGAGCCGGTGCCCCTAGCTTTCTTCGTGAACGATGCAGAGGTGCTCTCATCCCTCGGCGCCTGCGTGCAGACATTCGGTGTAGACACGGAGCGGATCCTGCCGGTGGTGTACCAGCCCCAGGCCGTGTTCAGGGTGCGCGCAGTGGCCCGCTGTACGAGCTCGCTGCCAGGCCACACGGAGGCCGTCATCTCGGTGGCCTTTAGCCCCACTGGAAAGTGAGTAAGAGGAAGTGCACGACTGCGATTTACAGATCCTGTGGATGTTTTTTTTAGCAGGGTAGCAGCAATTACAAGACAAAGTCATCGTGGATTTTAATTGTCGTCTTTTATTGAAAAACTCTAGTTCATATTTGCCAAGAGGATGCAATACACTACCGTAAGCGTTGGGGGCAATGTCACATATGTTGACTCTGCGCAATGAAAATTTCAGCGATTTATTCTTTATCTAGCAGCTGGCTAATGTTACCTAATATCGTGTGGGTTACTTAAATTTGTTATTTCGAATTAAAACAGATTAATCGGAATGAAGGCAACTAACACATTATCACATGCTTACTTTAGTCAGCTGGCTGGTGTAAGATTTTAAATTCTTGTCTGTAAACACATTTACATATACAGTGGTACCTCAGTTCTCGAACTCGTTAGAACTCGAATTTCTTAAAAGTCGAACCAACCACTTTGAAAAAAATGACCTAGAACTCGATCTGAATCTCAGAAGTCAAACCGTGAATGCCGACCTAAGATAACTGGTACACGCTGGGAAACGCGTACCAGTCACGTGGCACGTCTGTCAGCGGAAACAAAGGGTAACACTTCAGTCTCAGCCTGGTATTCCCTGTGATAGCATCGTGCATGTTTACACTAGCTGAATACATATATTTAGACAGTAAAAATACATTTAGACACTGACAGTATCAGTAATTATTATACAAAAAAATACATTTAAAAATAAAGATTTCTTATTAATTATAATATCATTAATAATAAACCATTAATACATTTAATTATAATAATATTGTCGTGCCGAGCGGGGACGGCTCGGAGACAAAGGCACAGACATCAGGGTGTCGAGGAATACGGGGTTTAATTACATGTAAGGCAGGCAAAACGCAGACGGACAATACAATGAGTGGACTGGGGAAACAAACTGAAACATGGACTAAATACAGAGGACTAATGACCACAACCAGAAACAGCTGATCATACAGGGATTTCACGCGAGGTTAACGAGGGGGCGTGGCACACGGAAGGAGCGGACGATCGGGGCAGGACACATTGGTTTTTTTTTTAACTTTACACATTGTTGGAATACATTTATTTTCTTACTTTACAAATTACTGTTTGATAAATGTGCTTAGATGTGTTTAGTACAGTATATGCTCTTCTTGTTTTATCCTGTTCATTTTGTGTTTAAATGCTAAAAAAAAAAAAAACATATTTAGGTGTAATTTTTTGGGGCCGGGAACTAATTAATAGGTTTTCCATTATTTCTTATAGGGAAAATTCGATCAGAACTCGAACTTTTTAGGATTCAAACCTGAGTTCTGAACGGATTAAGTTTGAGTTCTGAGGTACCATTGTATATAACAGTTTTATTGCTTTGTAAATAGTCTGTAGGGTTTCCAAAGTACCAAACAATTTTGATGTAGCTAATTTTAGATTTATAATGAATTAATATAAATTTGCTGTAAGATTTCTTGCATGAGCCTGAGAGTCTGAAAGCATAAGTGTCACGCCAGATGAGTGAGAGCTGGCAACCCTGTTGTGAGATGCAGACCCACAGCCAGTTCTTAAGGAGATAGAGAACAAAATGCCTGCTATTGACAGGTACCTGGCCAGTGGTTCAGGGGACACAACGGTGCGCTTTTGGGATCTGACAACTGAAACGCCTCACCACACTGCCAGAGGTTTGTTCAAAGCCCGTGGGAGCGGGGGGGCAGCATCGTGATGTCACTGAATGGAAGTGATATGTTGGTGTTCCTTGCAGGACACGCACACTGGGTGCTGTCCATCTGCTGGTCACCGGATGGCAAGAAGCTGGCCTCTGGCTGCAAGAACAGCCAGGTGAGTCACATTTATACTCTACTGAATAGTATAGTTAACTAGTAGAAGAGTTAACAGTGGAGACTGATCTTTAATGTTGCACTATGCAGATCCTAATACAAATGCATAAAACAAATGCAAGCAATTTTGTGGTACAAATGTCCTGTTTCTGCTGTGACCATTACCTAATTTCACACTATATCGCTCTTAACAAATCGGGCTGCGAATCCTAAATCACCCAGCTGGCTTCTGCTCTGCTCCCCTCAGATCTTCCTGTGGGACCCTGCCACAGGGCAGCAGGTAGGAAAGACTCTTACAGGACACACAAAGTGGATCACCTGGCTGTGCTGGGAACCGCTGCACTTGTGAGTTCCCGTCCTGCTTTGGCCCCTATACCTTCCTGAATTGCTGTCCTCGTTCACAAAGACTGTTGTTTCCTGCACAGTAAGTCTGTCTCGTCTCTCGTGTCCCAGAAACCCAGAGTGCCGCTACCTGGCCAGCTCTTCAAAGGACTGCTCAGTGCGAATCTGGGACACGGTCCTCGGCCACTGTGATAAGATCCTGACGGGCCACACCCAGTCGGTCACCTGCGTGAAGTGGGGGGGTGAAGGCCTGCTGTACACGTCCTCCCAGGACAGGACGATCAAAGTGTGGCGACCCAAAGATGTAGGAGCCTAACCTTGTGTGTTCGGTGTCCCTGATGGTGACTTCCTTTGCCTTGGATTGCTTGATGATGTCATTCACATTGTCCAAGCTTTTAAATATTGAGTGTTCATATCAATACCAAGAATGCAAAGAACATACATGTGTTCTTGGCAAGAGCGGTCTTGCTAACTTGTCTCCCAAGAATGAACTTGGGACACAATGAATCATGGGATTGTTGTCATTGCTGAGGATGCAACTGATGCATCCTTGATATTTGCAGTGAGGCAAGAACAACATCCGGGGATGTACTTCTGTTGTTGAGTATTGGAACTGGTCTTCCGCAATGGAAGACGACGTCAAATGAGTACATGAGAGCACAAGAACGGTCAAGAAGGCATGTCGATAAACACCCACCGTCTTGCTGTATCTTTCAGGGCGTGCAGTGTCGTACTTTACAAGGTCACGCACACTGGGTTAACACTCTGGCCCTCAGTACAGACTACGCCCTACGGACAGGGGCGTTCGAGCCTGCCACTGCAACCGTGAACCCCCAGGATATTAGTGGATCGTGTAAGTTTTGCCCCCTTGTGAAGAAAGCTAGTATTTCATTACAATTCACATGAGTTTGCTCTGAAACATGAATTTTGGACGTGTTGTAAAGTGTATTCTGCATTTTGTGTGTTAATTTGCTTTTTCGTGTATATTCTTTTTTCTCCTGCAGTGGAGGAGGTGAAGGACAAAGCCTTACAGAGATATAATAAAGTGAAGGTAAGCATGTGCATCCCAGGCAGTGTTGTAATAGTTTGTTGTTTTTTTAGTTTTTATTTTTACGTAATTTTCAGTTTTCATCTGTTTTGTTTGTCGTGTTCCGAGTTTTCGGTTGAGTTACAGCTATATTTTTGTCAACTGACCCGTTCGAGGTCTGAATCGGTAGAGCTGAACGCATCTCGACCCATACAAGTTTTTAGCATGAACGGTTGAGTTGAGTTCCAAGATATAGATCAAGGTACAAATTATATAAAAAATTTCTTTAGAGCAGTGTTTCCCCAGCCTGTTCACGTTTTTGCTTCCTCTCAGCTCCCAGCACCTGTACCAGCTATTCGGTGTTCCTGATTGGCTGGGAGCTGGGAGGGAGCAAAAATGTGGACTGGCTGGGGTTCGGTAAGGACTGGGTTGAGAAACACTGCTTTAGAGAATCCTACACGAATACCCAATGCACATTATGTACTAAAGTCCTCAAAATAGGCAAAAAGTGTTCCAGGTCTTAATGGTAGTTAAAGATACAATTCCTAACTTAATCTAAATGTTTTAAAGTATTTGAAGTTTATTTTCAGTTAGTTTCAGAATTTTTATAGTTTTCCTTTAGTTATAATGCTTTGATTTTATTTTCCTATCTTGTTTTATTTTATTTCAGTTTATGAAAATGTTTTCTTATAGCTTTAGTTGTCATTAGCGTCCCTGTGAGCCTGGGGCCATGTCAGCCTCGTGTCCCTGTTTCCGTTTCCAGGGCCACGGCCCCGAGCGACTCGTATCTGGCTCCGATGACTTCACACTATACCTGTGGAACCCAGCGGAGGACAAGAAGCCAGTGGCGCGGATGACGGGGCACCACGCCCTCGTCAACCAGGTGCTCTTCTCTCCTGACACCCGTCTGCTGGCCAGCGCCTCCTTCGACAAGTCCATCAAGATCTGGGACGGCAAATCGGGCAAGTAGGTGCAAGGGGGGGGGGGGTTGCCATGAGCTCGGTGCTTCGGAAAGAAATAGACTGAACAAAAAAGGGGGAGTATTCTAATACTTCCATTTGTTATTTTTTTAAATAATAATCTAGAAAGTTTGTCCCACAATCAAAAAAGAAACAAAAAAGTGACACAAAAAATGTTCAGTCTCTTGTTATTAGAGATCGATGGATGTTTATTAAAATTCAAGATATCGGTATCAGTCCGACGTGTCAGTCTAGGGCACAGGTGTCAGACTCCAGTCCTGGGGGGCCGGAGCCCTGCACATTTTTGGGTTTCCCCTCGTTTAACGCACCTGATTCAACTTCTTGTGCTAATTACCACATAGCTGTTGAGCTGAATCATTTGTGGTGGAACAGGGAAAGAACTAAGCTACACAGGGCTCCGGCCCCCCAGGACTGCAGTTTGACACCCCTGGTCTAGGGCAATTTTTAACTGAAGTCACTAGAACTGAAGACATAATTACTAAAATAATGTAGATGATTCGGCAAGAGGCTCAGAGGTTAGCAGATTGTTGTGGAATTTGAAGAGAATATATGTTAATGGTATCTGTCAAAACTGCCATGGCAGTGCACTCCTACCTGCTGCCCCTATGACCAACATGTCGGCACCCCCAGGTACCTCACCTCTCTGCGGGGCCACGTGGGTTCGGTGTACCAGGTGGCCTGGTCGGCAGACAGCCGCCTCCTGGTGAGCGGCAGCAGCGACAGCACCCTGAAGGTGTGGGACATCAAGACGGGCAAGCTGAGCGTGGATCTGCCCGGCCATGCTGATGAGGTGAGAGGGTACCTGGGGGATTAACACCATCTGCCATGGCAACCCGTGGAATATTTTATCACGGCATACTCTGTATTTCATATATGCACACAGGTGTTTGCAGTGGACTGGAGTCCAGATGGGCAGCGGGTTGCCAGTGGGGGAAAGGACAAGTGTCTGCGGATGTGAGTCTTACTACGTCTCCTGTGTTTTCTGACAATCGATGTGATGGCCGGACTGACACTCTGCTTTTCTTCCTCATACACTCTCAGCTGGAGGAGGTAGCTGTTTTCACTGTGAGCTGGGCTGTCACTTTTGCCTTTTGCCAGCCAGGAGGTGGAAAAAGCCTTAACCAGACTGTTTACCCACAATCCACTGCTCTACTCATCATGGTGGTCCAGTGCTGTCAAAGGCCAGGAAGCATTGTCTTGTGGTGTGCAGGAATGTATAGAGGCGTATTTTAGTACGCTTGTACTAATGTCACGTGTCCTATTCCACTTCAGCACAGAGATGCTGAAATATGTACAAGACATTAAGCTATCAAATATTAAATGTTACCAACTGAAATCCTGAAGGTGACTTTCTCTGTAATTAGCTTGACATCTGTGATCCTTGTTTCTGCTATTAATTAGGGATGCCTGTGACTCGTACTTCAAAGATCAAGGGTCTCTCTCCACCTTTAAGTCTGAATCCCCCTTTTGCTGGGTTGTTGGACCAAACTATGAACAGACTGAGGAGAAAAACAAAAGGGAGCTCAGTTTATTAATAAATATTTAATTTTGTTCTAAAATCCCACCCCAGAACCAAGTTTAACTGGTGACATGTAGGAGGGATGTGAGAGACGGAAGCAAGTTATGGGACACATTGTGGCATTTTGTAGCAAAAACCATCGCGAAACAAGGCGCAGAAAAACAGTACCTGCTTTTGGCACGTCTGGACAGCCGAGCCAGTAGAGGGCACCAGAGTTCACCTTGAGCGTGACAATGCTGGCCACCAAAGGCTTTGGATGTCTAGTGCAGTAGGTATATTACCCCACTTCAGGAATTAAGAGCACTGGGCACAATTCAACACACCATTTAAACCCCCCCCCCCCAATGAAAATGGCACCATAAGCAGGAATGTAAATGTTACAGTGCCAAAATGGCATCAGCTGAAGCAAACAAAATTTTGTACGAAAATGGGAATACAGATCTAACCGTATGTCAGCCACAAAAAATCAAACTTAAATTCAAGCTCATATCGCTATAGTTTAATCCTGGTTTCTCAGAAATAAGTGCGCAGCCGGATTGGAACAGTAGTGATTCTGAGCCATCTCTACTGAACATGCCTCTCTCCAGCCCAGGTTTAGGTACCGGTTTGTGTGTAGCGGCAGTATGAAATCCTAGCCTCTAGACTGAGATCTGCTCCACTTTTCCCAGCCTTCCCTAAGCTGATAAATTCAGTGCTAATGGCTAATTTAGTTCAATTAGTGAAATTAGTTCAATTTCTCCTTGTGATTAAGTGCTCATGTACAAAGATGTTCATACACCTCAGGCCACGAGAACCAAGAGAGAATATTAAAACTTTAGGGTGATTATGAATCGATAATTCAAAAATAAACTTGGTGAAAGGCCATTCCCATAATCCTATTCCCAACATAAAGCGAAATGACTCAGCTCTAAGGTAAGAATACAAGTCTGTACACTAATTAGTGTCAAACTGGCTCGTGCTACTATGACCGGCAACCTTGTTAAACAGCTATCCTACAGCAAGGCAGAAAAAGTGCAATGCACTGCTGGTATTCACACCCTTTGACATGTCGTCTGCATTGGACCAAAGCCCGACCAATCAACAGTGAACAGATCAAAATACCAGTTTTCCACAAAAAAAAAAAACTCCTAAAATGTGTCATAACATAGAATTACATCCCTTTGTTGAACAGTAGAAAAAAAAAATCATCTTGTGCGTTAGAAGCTTGTGAGTGTGGCCTGCATTTCTACATCTACTCCATCCCTCTGTCTCCGCATCCTTCAGTCCGTTTTCCAGACGTCGTTGAGCATCTTGACGACTTCCTCGTAGATGACGAAGACAATGGCCACGTCCAGGCACACTCGGCCCAGTCGTGGGACTGTGCCCTTGTAGAACCTACAGGGCGGCGACAGGAGCTATGTGAAGGCGGTGGTAAAGTTACAGGACGGAGAACAGATCATGGGTTATACGGGTGTATTGTGCTCACAGAAGGTGAGACGCTTAATTCAATAGAAATATTTTTGTTATAAAACCAATAAATTTGAAATAATTAGTTTATTCATTTGTTTACAAAAAACCCTGGGCGCCGCTACGGGTGGCTGCCCTTCGCCGACAACTAACTCCACAAAGAGCAAGTTGAGGGAAAGACAATTTCCCCACGGGGATTAATAAAGTATCGATTATTATTATTATTAACCCTCAAGGCAGGCGTTGCTGATTTGCAACAGTTAAAAACTAACTACCTTATTACCCCACATACATATTTTATGAGTTTTTTTTACTCAGAAGTACCACTGCAGGACTTGGTTGTCCTGTCGTTACTAAAACTTAATTTGAGCCTGAAAGGGTTAAAGGAGATCTTCAGAGTTAAAAAGTTCATTGACAAGCAGTTTCATGGGGTGCTTTTTAATTAGTAACATCTTTGCAGCAACATAAAACACCAAATATTCGTGTTTAGTATCCCTATGGGAGCCAATTAATAGAATTGCAATTAATATAAAAATGGTGGTGGTGGGGACTATGAGACACTCACGCTTGTGGACCTTCGTTGCGCAGGATCTGAAAGGCACAGTCAACGGTGTTACGGTAGCGGTGAGCCTCCAATCCCTGAAACAGAGAGTACCTTTACACATAACAGGTCACAAACATAGACCAGCTAATGCAGAAACAGGCTTAAAAACACCCAGATTAGTCTGCGATTGGCGCCCTCTTTAGACACAGACCTGCATCCTTGTCTTCACCACATCAAGAGGTGTGTTCCCAAAAACACTCGCAGCCCCCGCCAGTGCCCCAAATGCCGCCGTCACCACTGGGTGCATCTCACGCCGGGGATCATCGCCTAGGGGGCAGTAGGCAGGGTGACACTCCGTAACAAAAAATGTCCCATTGATCTTCAGTCACACACTTAAAGATCATGTCATTCAGTAAACTCAGTGTTTCCCAATCCAGTGCTTGGGGACCCGCAGACAGTCCACGCTTTTGCTCCAGTAGAGAGTTGGGTGGGAGCGAAAACATGGACCATCTGGGAGGGAGCAAAAACATGGACTGTCTGTGGCTGTCCAAGGACCGGGTTTTAAAACAGCAAGTAAACCTATGTGAACTTCTAAAAATGATGTAACAGGCTAATAATATGACTTCAAAAAAATACATCAACGTTCAGATCATAGTTCCTTACCTGCGCCCCCAGCTCCCCATGTTTAGAGGTCTGTCTTCCCATCAGTGGTCTAAAACTCCTTTGTTTGTGCTTGAATCTCTTACAGGAAGTGCAGGGTCCCATCCTCCGTCCTTGGCCCACTCACCTTTGTACCAGTTCCGGAGTGAGGTCATCACGTAGAATCGAATAGCCTGGTTGGAACCCTGTTTCAGCACAGTGGCGGTCAGGCCCTGGTAGGTTCCACGCACCCCTGCACACAAACAAATCAAAACAAATAAGTTCAAGAGCTGCCTATACAGGTGACCTGTTGAGAACTGAACCCACAACATTCAGGCTAAAAGTTCAACTCATACATACATAATTAAAATATGTACCGGTAACTGACACCAACAGACTGGGGCTGTATGAATAAATTAAAACTGAATAAAACAAGGATCCGGATATGATGAAATGTCATTAATATGAAACAGGATGTCAGTATTCACGCTGCTGCAATTCACCGCTCTGACAGACCCCTACAAAGAATTTGAAGGGTAAGCACATAGAGAACAACACTCCGCCTTACCCTGGTCCCTGATGATCTCTCGTACCCCATGGAAAAAGCCTCTGTAACGAGGCTGCAGAGAGCACTGATCGTGAATGAGCTTCACCTAAAACAGGCAAAAAAAAAAAAGAAAAAGCAGAAGCTATGCATTTACTGTCATTATTACAATGTATCAATGTATGCAGATGTATGCAGATCTGTATCACGCTTTGGGGCTGATGCATTTCGGACACCTAGGTGAGTTGAGGAGCAGAGCCATGAACTGATCTCCACTTGGTGATAAGCTAGATTTGGGGCATGGGGCAGAAGCCAAATGCACCAGGATGACCCAGATGAGCGGTCTGGTTTTGCAGGGAATTTTTGGCTGGAGCTTCCGAGTTATAGGCGGTCAAAGAAAATGATGTTTAAATGATATTCATATGTTGGTGTAAAACTTACTTTATGTCTGTCAAACTGTATCAGCTCAGCCACTTCAAAACCACCCCAGTGTTTGCAGCAACCATCCAATACACCTATGTACTTATATCTCGACCATTTGCATACCTTATTTGGCTAATCAATACTTCACAGAGTTATTTAACTATCCAAAACTAATTAGTTAAGCGAGCTGGTGGTGAAATTTAAACTGATACACTGAATGACTGGGGTGCCCCTGAGGAGAGGTTTGGGAACCAAAGCAGTGTTCATCTAGCCATCCAACAAGACATCAGTAACTTTTTGGAGAACAGAAGGAATTCTCCTAGTTTTTATTTTGTTACTCTTTATTTGCATATGTTTTAATGGTAAACAGTATTTTTTTTTGAGGAAATATGTTTAACCCCCAGATAAATTATACATAAACATTTTCTTTTTTGCACTGTGGTTTAAATCCAGACCGATGTGCCAAATAAGGCTGGGGACATCCGAAGGGACAATGTTTAAGGCCTCGGTCACTGCAGCAGCTGCAAAGAGACATGGCCAGAAGGCAGCTGGAGAGAAGCTGTCATGGTGAAGGAGATCTTCAGGGTGAAGCTTCTATAGATGGTGCTACAGGAATATGGCGTACTGGGTCTGCTGCTGTGTGCAAATCGGTCCCTGTTTGAAAGTAGCAGGAGTCATGCCCGCATTCTTGGCACAAAATCAGTCTCATCTAGAGTGAGTGTTGACCTCTGGTTATGTTGCTTCATGTCTCCTGGTCCTGTTTGTTTGGGATTTTCAAGATGGCTGGAAGGGCATCTAGTACGGAAGCCTAGAGGTGACATCCATGTTATTTGTGGATGTTCTGCTTCTGGTTCTGATCCAGCCAGGGCCTCCAGGGAACGGCTGCTCACCTTGAGAGTTTCCATGGGGCAGACCACCAGGATGGCCTCGGCCACGCCTGCCCCGAGCCCACACATCAGGCTCCGGGTGTTGTCCAGGCGGCCATTGGCGTCTCGCAGGGGGTTGCTGAGCACCTCGAATGTGCCAAACCTGAGAAGGAGCATGAGGGCATGGTGTGATCATGTGATAAGATGGCCCACACCTAGGGTGACCACCTAACCCGTGTCAGGAGGGACACTATGAGCTACGACTAGGTTTGTAAACTACCGTTTCAATTAAACAGGCCCGGATTTCACTTAAGCACTGAGTTCTTGCTGTGTGCTGATTGGTCAGTCTCCTATAATCATGCATGTGTCACTAATGTTAATGTGAAACTGCTGGACAAGTCTTTCAATCAATGAAACAAACCAGTAAAAGTACAAGATGAACCAAACAATTTAGCCAAACACGGGAGCCTCTCAGTTTTAACATAGTTTGTAAAACCGGAAGTAGCTCACAGTGTCCCCCCCTGACATGGATTAGCTGGTCACCATACCCATGCCTCCTAGAAAGCCAAACCTCCTACAGGTTTCATTTTATGTTTCTCTGCATCACACAATATGGGACTGGTTTCATTTCAGGAGCCACTCACACCTGGAGAAGTTAAAGCCACAGTAAAAGCTCTTGGATCAAGCATTTAAATATCCAGCACATTTTAAAAATACCAGTCTAAAGATTCACAATAATAATAATAATAATACTATTCTATTAAAAATGTACACTAAACTAAAATTAAACAAAAAAAAAAAGCATTGGGCAATACATACATTCGCATGCCTGCGGAGCAGCGCACTTTAGTCTTTCAGCTTGTTTGGCCATTATTTACCTTGCAGTCTTGTGTGTGGCAGTAACATTGCAGCATGTTAAAATAATAGTACAATGATCATTAAAATTAGTACAAAATAATTAAAATAAGAAAAGTATTTAGCTACAATTCAGTATTTATCAAGACTAACATTCAACTATCCAGAAATAACTATATTGCCGGATTGGAGAACTCTATCCCACAGTGATAGAGTACTTAAAGCTGCAGTATTACCACCACACTCACTGCTATACTCCCCCAGTGATGAGTATGAATGCTTGTGTGTGTTTTCCCTACCGGACGGCGGATTTGGGGATGGACCCATAAAGCAGGGAACTCAGGCCTCGATAGAGCCCCCGGAGACCGTGATCCTGCACGGTTAGTCTCACACAGTCACCTGGGTGTAAGACACACCACCTTAGCACACATACACACCAAATACACACAAAAACTAAAGTGACAGTCACACACCAATAGTGTAGTGTCAATATAAACCAGGTTGTCCACCAATGATCAACCACACGTTCTGGCCTCACCTATGCCCCTATATCTTGGAGGATTGGCTCGCTCATCCAGCTGAAGTTGCGTCTTCACATACTCTGTGGGAAAGGTTATGCAGATCTCAATGCCACCTGCAATACCACCTGCAATCACAAGAAAACCAATAAAACAGTTGTTAAACATTTAATTCTCCCATTTGGTACAAAAAAAAGGCATTTATGTTTATCTGTATCACGCAATTAGTTGAATTTGGGACTTATTCCCATGATTATGTTACACATCAGTTTCACAGATTCTGATCACAAGCTGCTTAACTGTCAGCTCACTGGCAAGAGAAGACCTGGCTCATATGACCAGGAAGGCATTCTGCTTAAAAATGTATACCATCGCACGAGTTCCTCTAAGTTTTAATAGTATACATAATTGAAAACATTTCTGTCATGTCTGTCATTTGCATGTATGGGTATTTTTAATGAACCTCATAAAGGAGGAGGAGATGACCAACAGTCCCGTAAATCCCCGCTTTGAAAGTTCGATTTCTGCCGCATCGACTCGAATATTCCGCTGCTAGCGTAACTTCAAGCAGATATGAGACTGTCGGCCCCCGAGAGTTCCCAACCCCCAGTCCTACAGTGGGACAAACCAGCCCAGGTATATGTAAACCTGAAGCGCCTTTACACACAAACAATCAGATGGGGCTGAGATGACCACCACACTGCATGTCCTTTATCTTCAGTGCAGGGGTTTTGCTGCCATTAGTTATTTTCCTACTACAGTAAATTAAAGCAATCGGGCAACACAACATACTCAGAACTGGCCAGTAGCTGACGCCCACCCCATAATTCGCCTTTGACTTAGGAGTAAAAGCCCCAAAATACCCAGACGGGTGGTGCGTCGCTCCAGTACCTGCCAAAATCGCCTTCCCTGGGTGTGTTATCTTTTTTCCTCCGATCGCCGCGGCCGAAATCACCCTCCTAGGGGGACCCAGACGGCTCCCACCCGGCAGACAACACCTAGACACCACCCCCGTGAACTCAGCACCCAGGCGCTTGTTCGGGTTCTGCGTGCGGAAACGCGCCGGATCGGAGCATCCTCGCCTGGGCTCCAAGCTACTGCACGGCCCCTCTGACACAGAGAAAGGCTTCCACAAGGACGACATTATGATTTATTAGTAGCAGCTGTGTCAAGCAGCAGCTGTTTTAAGCGAACAATGGCACAAATCCAAGCCGCGAGCCAATCGCGCGAGCTATAGACTGACGAAGCACAGTTCCATCCGCAGCCGCAGAAGCTCATGAATATTAAATAAGAAAACGATGTCTTGCAACTGGGGGCATCGGCCCATGCTCGTTTGTTCTGGTATATTTGATGCGTTTCCTATTGATTAGCCCAGGCGACCAATGGTATCACCGCACTTGCAAGAGAATCCAATGGAATCAATCCGGGGTAGCCGTAACCTCGCGCTGTGGTCTTTCATTGGCCAAGAACGCGCCGCCGAAATCGTTTTGATTGGCCACACGCCGGATACGCTCTCAAGTCACTGGGCGACGCAGACGTACGAGATCAACTAAAGGGCATTCTCAAAGAACAATGTAGCAGCTGGGTCATACAATCGCGTGGTGATCTTGGGCGGGGCCACGGAGGACATGGGCGAACATGATTGGCTAAGAGAAGATGGTTTGTGATTCATCGGCACGTACGATAAATCAGTCGTATAAACTATAATCACATGTAAATATCTGACCATCTTCCCCACCGCCTGTCCACTGTTGAGTCACTAGTGACCCTGGAACCTATTGGAGGAGACACTCTTGTTAAAAAAAAAACGTCTGGCTTGATTGAGAAATAATTAATTTCTTCTGACAGCTCAAAGCATCAGATTAATCGTGAATCACACTAGGCCGTTTTTGCAATGAGCTTTGTAAAAACATTTCTCTTTTCCGAAACTTGCCTTGATTATTTTATGCATGTGTAAACGACTCTAGCTTGATAGCTGGACAATTCATTTAATTAAAATGACTAATGTAATTACAGTGTTTAGCTGTTGTCCGATAAAGAAATAATACACCATTAACTGGCCGGTAATATAATTATTAAAGCATTTAATTAAATCTCTCATTTAATTGGACATCTGAAGTTTGAAAGTAATAAGTAATTTTATAAGTAATCGGGAACGGCATGTTTTGTACTTGTATTAGGATAAAGTCTGGGAATATTGAAATTTAAAAAGTTAATTTTAAATTTAAAGACAAAAGTTAGGTAGCGAGGTGCAATTTTTCTCTTAGTGCCCTGCGATCAGTGATACATCGTAATTAATGTTTGAGAATAATATAGTAGATGTTTCATGTGGGTAAATTACTCTTTATCTGAAACCTTCCTAGTCCATCCATTTAACATAATTCATCCTGTATTTCCGACTCATCACCATTAGGCCTATTTAAACTATTAGCAATTTTAGACGTGTTGTTTGAAGTCACTCAATAGACATTATTTCCAAGAGCAACCAACAAGAAATTAACCATAAAAATACATTGCTTTTAATATTTTCCGCCCTAATTTTTCGCCTCTTCTGTGGCACGGTTGTGATGGAAGCAGTCACGGTTCTGGGTGGCAGATGGCGCTGTGCAAAAGGGAAATAAACTCATCATGGTCCAATCCTTTATCTGAGGTGCTAAAACGACAGCATTCATTACACATGCCAATGATTAATCAGAATTATCAGAGCTTATGTATCAGCTATGAGGAAATCAGTTCTATAGGATGTGCAAAGCAGAGTCGTCACAGATATCCATGCAGTGAAATTTATTCACATTTAGACGATCAATATGGAGGTATTACTGTTTCAAAGTCCTATAAAACGCTTCTTCAGCCTGACTGGGTTAATTTAGCAAGCAGTCGGCGGTATGAGAAGAGGCCCCCTACCTACAGATGAATAAGCTATTTGAGTATGTTCAAATCAAATTAAATTATAAAGTTATATTTGAAGATATGGCTTGTGTTAGTCATATCAGTGTAAAATAATAATTTACTGTAAATGTATTTCTTTTTCACACGTTTATTAATCCATTAGCATCGATTTATTAATTTCTGTTTATTTAAAAACTTGGCCAGGGCAGTTATCCACACAAGGCTCACAACTGGTACATTACATTACACAGATAACGCAGCAGATATTTTTTAATATGTGGGAGATTCGTCATTTAGCGTGTTCCACCCGAGGCAGTTACTGCTCCTTGGTAAATGTCTTCACACAGCCAGATGCACTTTTGTCTCTGTTGCCTTGATGCAGTTTGCTAACTGCACAGACTTTCCACCCCTGAAAAAGCAGACATTTTGCCTGGAATCGGACAAGAGGGATCAGATTAGCAATATCTCTGCTGTGTTTTTTGAGGTGCAGTCTGAACGAGTCGAAATAGAACCCTGTATCTATCCCAAAATTTTACTGAAGCTACAGTTTGGAAACAGACTAAAACAGTACTAATAAAAGGGAAAATTAATTTTGTCTGTGATTGCTACTGTTTTATCTTTCACAGTACTGAACCTTTCACTGCAGTAATTCAGGTCTATTCCCTAATTCAAAGGTACATCAGCAATTCCCCTCATATGGCCACATAGCTTTTTGTCACACTGCAGTTTCCATCCACTTCCTGGCTGCAGTATCAAAAGAAGCCTGAGCTGGCCAGCAGGGGGTGCTATACAGGCCTTGGCTATGCCCACCTTACCTCCATATTCCATGCCATACCTCATGCCATCGCAGTGTGTCTATTGGTAGAGCCAGGTGACAGTGGGGACACATGGCAGCTGTCTCTTCCTGCCCCCCAGCCCCCCCTCTATCCCGCAGCCCCTCATTGCCCCACAGTGGGAGAGCTGTCGAGCGGGAGGAGCAGGCTATCCCAAAGTGGGGTCTGGGATCCTGCTGGTAGTGCACACGGTGACCTCTAGGGGGTGCTAGTGGAGTGTCATTCACTGACTAGGGGATGAAAAGACCAAAATTATAATTTACACTTATTTTCATTTAGCAGACACTTTTGTCCAAAACAGCATACAAATTAGGTATAAATACAAATAAGGCAAATAACATATTACAAACATACGTGCTATCAAGGAACTGACTAGGCATAAGGGTAGCTAGGCTTTGCTTCTAATTAATGCCCAGTTAGAAATGCAAGCAGTATATAACTTCAGGGATGGAGATGTCAATTAATCAGCTTTAGAAGTGTATAATGACATTGAGTTCATTAAATGTCAGGACAACCTATCTCACTTGTTTGGCTATCCCTGTGTTCTGAGATAATCCTATTTTGTCAGGAAAAACATTTCTCGTAAATTGAGGCTTATCTGAGGCTCGGAAGCAGAGTTAAATGGCAATATTATATTCCCTGCAGTCCCTGGTGAGTGTAGTGATGTCAGCGACTTGAGATGGCAACTATGCATACAGATATAGTGCAACCAAGGCAGTATTTTCTTCAACAGCCTCGGAAGAGTTACTTGGCTTCCTGATGGCTCATCTGGGGGAAGCGACTTCGTACAGTACCAGCAGGGCACCATTCTCTGTCCTGCAGGGGGCACACCGGGCTCAAAGTCAAAGAATGATAAGGGTGTTCAGCGCTGAAATTATAGGCCAATCAGTCTAACTTGTATAACTGGTAAAGTTATGGAGGCTATAATCAAAGAGAAAATGGTAGATTACCTGGACTCAAATAACATTTTGAGGGATAGCCACCATTGATTTAGGAGATGTAGATCCTGTTTAACAATCTGTTGGAGTTTTTTGAGGAAGCTACTCAGGAAGTTGATGATAAGAAGGCCTATGATGTAATCTACTTAGATTTCCAAAAGGCTTTTGACATTGTCCCCCACAAGAGGCTCTTACTTAAACTCAAAGCGACAGGTATTTTAGGAACTGTAGTAACCTGGATTGATAACTGGTTAACAGATAGGAAGCAGCGAGTAGTTATAAGAGGCACAATGTCACTGTGGGCCTGCGTTCATAGTGGGGTACCGCAGGGTTCAATTTTAGGACCACTATTGTTCCTAATTTACATAAATGATATAGACACCAATATATACAGTAAACTGGTGAAATTTGCAGATGACACCAAGGTGGGTGATGTAGCAGATACTGAACTAGCGGCTCAGCAGCTACAGCGGGATCTTGATTTAATTAGTGACTGGGCTGATACCTGGCAGATGAAATTTAACATAGACAAATGTAAGGTACTCCATATTCAGCTGTACAGGGCAGCGTGTGGCTCAGTGGGCTAAGCTGTGTGCCTGTAATCACAAGGTCGCCGGTTCAAGCCCAGCCTCAGCACATCTGTGGGTCCTTGAGCAAGACCCTCAATCCCCAGCTCCCTGGGCGCCGCTACGGGTGGCTGCCCTTCGCGGACAGCTTGCTCTACAAAGAGCAAGTTGAGGGAGGCATAAAAACAATTTCCCCACGGGGATCAATAAAGTATGAATTATTATTATTATGTAGGGAGCAGAAATATAAAGTACAGGTATTTTATGGGACCTACTGAAATAAAGGTAGCTGATTATGAGAAAGAAGAACATAAGAACTATACAAACGAGAGGAGGCCATTCGGCCCATCGAGCTCGCTTGGGGAGAACTTAACTAATAGCTCAGAGTTGTTAAAATCTTATCTAGCTCTGATTTAAAGGAACCCAAGGATTCAGCTTGCACTACGTTATCAGGAAGACTATTCCATACTCTGACTACACGCTGTGTAAAGAAGTGCTTCCTTAAATCCAGTTTGAAATGTTCTCCCGCTAATTTCCACCTATGGCCACGAGTTCTTGTATTTGAACTAATGCTGAAGTAACTATTCGGTTGAACAGCATCCAAACCTGTTAGAATCTTATAGACCTGGATCATGTCCCCCCTCAGCCTCCTTTGCTTGAGGCTGAACAGATTTAGCTCAACTAACCTTTCCTCGTATGACATTCCTCTAAAACCAGGAATCATTCTTGTGGCCCTACGCTGCACCTTTTCTAAGGCCGCAATGTCCTTTTTAAGATATGGTGACCAAACCTGCACACAATATTCTAGGTGAGGTCTCACCAAGGAATTGTATAATCGCTTGTTATAATTTTTTTTGTTGCTACTACATTTTATGCAAACAAAAGAAAACAAAAGAAAACAATGAATATTGCGTGGCACACCTGTGAACTGATGGGCAATGTGGGCTGAAGGGCCACCTGGTGGTGTTGAAAAGCATTGCGGGACATGACCAGGCCTGTTCTTAAAGTGCTGGGGCTCATCCGGAACCTCCTTAGCCTGAAAGAGGAGCAGTACATCAGAACAGCAAGGAGATGCAGACACTGGTTACGTCCAATGGTGGTGAATAAAAGAAAGCGAGACGTGATTGGCTCTGCGCTGATTATGCTGAGCAAAGG